TTTTTTAGTCATGGAAAAATTTAAATATATACATGGCATTAGAATAGTATAATGATCCCATGTGTCCATCTTGAACTTCAACAATTATCAGCTCACAACCAGCCTTGCTTTGTTCCTGTCTCTACCCACCATCCAGACTATTTTGAAGCAAATATTACTCATTCATTTCATCCATATACACAAAGAAATGGATTTTAAAACAAGGATGTTGGTAAAGTGGCAAATATTAAAAATAACACGAAATGCCAGAGTGGATACAGTGAAATAGACACTCTACTGTGCTTCTGTTGGGAGTTACCAATTGGTGTAACTTTCTGGAGGGCAGTTTGGCACAGGATATCACAAAAACTTAAGAATGTGTATTCCCTTTTGCCTAATGATTCTACTTTTGGGAATTTACCTTAAGGGAATAATAGCTATGTGCACATAGGCTTATCTTTAAGAATGTTAATTAAAAAGGACTTGAATTCCAACATCAGAGAAGTGGTTGCATAAATTATAGACCATCCAGATAAGGAAATACCAGACAGTCATTACAAATTATGTTGAAGGTGAATACTAAGTTAGAAAGCGTTTATAGGGACGCCTGGCTGGCTCAGTCAGTGGAGCATGCAATTTTTGATCTCAGAGTTGTGAGTTCGAGCCCCATGTTGGGTGTAGAGATTACTTAAAAGTTAAAAAAATAATAATAATAAAATTAAAAATCTTAAATAAATCTAAAAAGTAAGAAAACATACTATATCAAGTAAAAGGGAAAAATTGTAGAACGACATGTAGCATATGATCCCAGTTTTGTTTAAAAGCTACAGTTATTTATAAGACAAAGGTTAATGGGAAATATATAAAAAATAGTTAATGGGTATATCAGGGGGATTTTTATTTTATTCTTTCTTTATGTATACTTTGTTCCAAATGTTTTACAATGAACATACATTACTTTTGTAATCAGAAAAAAATAACCCTAATTTAAAATAAAGGATATAGGTGTTGGTGAGAACACTGTGTAGTACGGTTTGACCTGAGGCTATACTCCCCCTGGGTATCGCCCTACTGACCAAAATAAAACGTTGGGGCAAATTTTCTTGGTGTCGCTAAGAGTGTTCTAGGCAGGGAGAAGTTGGGCAGCTAAAAAGCCACTGTCCTTGTCTAGGTATGAGGGCAAGGGCCTCGTCCATGGGCAGATGGGAAGTCAGTCCTCTTTCTCAGCTTCCTGTTCTTCCTGAATCTTTTCTGGGGAGAAGACTCCAGAAGATCAGGCCAGGGTTGTATGCTAGCCCGAGTCCATTGTTCTGTTGGCCTCTAGCATAGGTTAGGATTAAAGCAAACTTGAGCTTAAGAAGGAAAAAGGCTAGCTAGCAAGCTGTCTCCTTTTTAAGAGTATTCCCAGCCCTGTTGAAAAGTTGGGAGATACCTTTTTGTGCTTCAAGGTGACTACAGGCAACAAGAGTGTTTTTCTGGCTTGACTTTGTACCAAGTAGCCCTTCCTGTACCAGGCGCTTGGCCTCCATGCGCTCTTCTGGTTCGGTTCCAAGGCCTCTTTGATCCCTTTCTTCCTTTATTTCCCATGGCTGGAGTGGCATCCCAGGTTGGAACAGTTCCTTCCTTCCACATAAGCAGAACAAATCTTTGGATTCTCCCTGGGGCGGATATGACCCCAGAAATGCCTCCGCTGCAAGGTTGCCTTGCTGGGTGAGCCAGCACAGAGCAGCCCGAATATGTGAGCTCAGGAACAGAGGCATGTCCTCTGAACCGCAGCATACCTGGGAAGCAGGTGTGCAAAGAGTAAGATTAGGCACCTTTAGTAGTCACCTAGGTGTTCCCGGGCACACGTGAGCATTCACATTGCCTCTGTTTCCTGCTGGGGGGAATTTCAATATGCTCTCTATCCCTCTTTGATCCTATCTGAGAAGCCTGAGTGGACAGAGGGTCCACTCTATGTCAGGGCTGGAAGAAGAGCTCTTTGTGTGCTTGGAATTCTTAGGGGAGCCTAAATGGCCACCCTGGCCCTATGCCATAGAATGGCTTATTGGCCATACACTATAGATATATTCATTTTCCTTTTTAATCCTGGGACCCCAAATCATCTTATGTATCTTACTCATGTATTTTTTAACAGTGATGTTGAGACAAATTTACATACCATGCAATTCACCTAAAGTATACAATTGAGTGTTTTTAGTACATTCAGAGTTGTGCAGCCATCACTGTAATCAATTATATCACCCCAAATAGAAACCCTGTACCCATTGGCATTTCCTCCCTATACACTCCCAGCTTCCTCTACCCCAGCCCTGGGCAACCACTAATCTATTTTTTGTCTCTATGGATCTGCCCATTCTAGACATTTCGTATAAATGGAGTTATACGATATGTGGTCTTTTGTAACTTGTTTTTTTCATCTATCATAATATTCTCAGGGTTCATCCATGTTGTAGTAGGTATCAGTACTTGATTTCTTCTTGTGGCTCAATAACGTTCCATTGCATAAATAGACCACATTTTGTTTACCCATTCATCTACTGATGGACATTGGCCTTGTTTGCCCTTCTTTGTTATTGTGAAGAATGCTGCCACAATTTTTTTTTTTTTAACATTTATTTGTTTTTGAAAGACAGAGTGAGACAGAGCACGAGTGGGGGAGGGGGAGAGGGGAGGGGGACACAGAATCCAAAGCAGGCTCCAGGCTCTGAGCTGTGTCAGCACAGAGCCCGACACGGGGCTCGGACTCACGGACTGCAAGATCATGACCTGAGCCGAAGTCGGACACTTAACTGACTGAGCCACTCAGGTGCCTCCCAATTTTTTTTTTTTTTTGAATGCTGCCACAATTTTGTGAGTCCATTTGTTTTCATTTCTTTTGGTATATACCTAGGAGTGAAGTTTCTAAGTCATATGGTAACTCTGTGTTGAACTGTTTGAGGAACTGCCAGACTTATCCAAAGTGGCTGTGTACCATCTGATATTTCCACTAGCAGTGGATCAGGGTTCTGATTTCCTATATATATCATCAACATTTGTTATTATTTGATTTTTTATTATAGCCACCCTAGGGGGCATGAAGCGATATCTCATTGTGGTTTCAACTTGCATTTCCCTAAGATTAATAATACTGAGTGGGGGGCGCCTGGGTGGCGCAGTCGGTTGAGCGTCCGACTTCAGCCAGGTCACGATCTCACGGTCCGTGAGTTCGAGCCCCGCGTCAGGCTCTGGGCTGATGGCTCGGAGCCTGGAGCCTGTTTCCGATTCTGTGTCTCCCTCTCTCTCTCTGCCCCTCCCCCGTTCATGCTCTGTCTCTGTCTGTCCCATAAGTAAATAAAAACGTTGAAAAAAAAATTAAAAAAAAAATAATAATACTGAGTGGATTTTCATATGCTTATTGGCCATTTGTAGATCTTCTTTGGAGAAATGTCTGTTCAGATCTTTTGCCCATTTAAAAAATAGGTTATTTTTTTATTATTGAATTTTAGGAGTCTTTTATATATACATAGTGTATAGACACATGTCCCTTATCAGATGTATGATTTGCAGACGTTTTCTCTCTTTTGTGCATTGTCTTTTCCCTTTCTTCGTGGTGCCTTTTTTTAAAAATTTGTTTTAATGTTTATTTATTTTTGAGAGAGAGACACAGAGTGCAAGCAGGGGACGGGCAGAGAGAGAGGGAGACACAGCATCCGAAGCAGGCTCCAGGCTCTGAGCTGTCGGCACAGAGCCCAACGCAGGGCCCGAACTCACAAACCGTGAGATCATGACCTGAGCCGAAGTCGCGTGCTCAACCAGCTGAGCCACCCAGGAGCCCCTTGCTGGTGCCCTTTGAAGCACAAAAGCTTTTAATTTTGGTGATGTCCCTTCCCATTTTTAATTGTGGGCAAAACAGGCAGAAATGATGAGGGGCAGGAAAGGCCAGTTCACACTGCCTGCACTCAGCAACAATGGATTGGCTCCCAGGCAGCAGTGTTCCGTGTTTAAGAAAACCCCAATGTGATTCCGGACAAATGGGAGAGGGGGTCATAGATTAGGTCCATATGAACAGCCTGAATTCAGTGAAGCAGGTTGGATAGCTACACAGAGAGTGATCTTGATGCTCTGGACACTGTGGATGTGGGACGGGAGAGCTTCACAGCATGGCAGTTCCGTCTCTTTGGAGGCAAGGGAGAGGAGATACAAACTGGCTGTTTGGGAGGATGTACTTTGCCCTAGGTCTGTTTGCCTCCGTGACTGTGTTGTCACATTTACTGTGCCTGGATTTGTGTAGAATCGCGGGCTGGGTGGGTCTGAGCTTTGAAGTTGTGGCGGTAGGCCCAGAATGAGCTGATAGGAGGTGTGTGAGCGACCTCACTGGGACAAGAGAATGAGTCTTTCTTGCCATCGGTCTCCTCCGATGCCCATCACTGGGGTAAAATGTGAGACGGAGAGGGAGGGCTCTCCTTGCACTTAGAAACCAGAAGCAGGAATCCCAGACTAGGCTGGCTCCCCTTTCAGCCCTGAGGAACTGTAGAATTCAGATTGGCACCTTCCAGAAGCCTACTGTCTTAGAACCAAAAGCAGCTTTTGCTGACATCTGGTCCTTCTGGGACACTGATATTTTTATGTATACAGTGACACTCTCATCCCCAAATAGATTCTTATTTTTAACAGGCTTGCTCCCTTTGAGGGATGCCTGAGGCTCCCGACTTTGCTCGCCGGCATCTCAATGAAACCCTGCAAAGACGCAGAGGCTCCTGGCATGAGCAAAGAGGAGGGACACTCACCAGCCAGGAAGTCCAACAGCTCAGAGTCTGACCCGGTCTCTGAGTTCTGCATTAATCTCCCCTCCCTTTATCAAACTAAGTCCCAGATGAAAAGCCGTAATTACCCACTCCCCACACCACCCCCTCAATGACACAGGAAGGAGAGCTGATAAGAAATGGAACCTGAGGATACCTTGATTCCTTCCCCCACGCCTCCCCCACCAGTCCGCTGCCCATTCCCTCAGCAGGTCTCCCTTGCTTCTTGTCTTTCAGCTACCCAACATGTTTGGTGACCTTCGGTCCACGTTTATTGCCTTGATGATTGGATCCTATGCCTCCTCAGCAGTCACCTTCCCAGGAATCAAGGTGAGGGTGTGACCAGCCTCACCCTCTTGTCCTAATGTCTGAGCAGAGCCCTCTCCCAAGGCTCTTTCAGCCTCCTCTGAAGAGGGAAGTAATTGTGGGTTCTGGGGTTCACCCCTCCCCACCACCCACACCTGGGAGGATGCACCTGGCCACCACAAGAGTAAGAAAAGAAAACCACTGAGCCACGGGAGACGGAAAATTCAAGCGTATCACACAGGGTGTTACCGCAGGCCGCCTTTGCATTTCTGGGCTGGGGTAGAGAAGAGGGATGGGTGAGTTTGTCCCAGGTCACCCCACCCCCAGGTCTGTTGTTGTTGGGCTGTTACTCCTCATTAGCCAGAGCGCTGCTCTTGGCTAAGTTGGTTCAGCTGTTTCCCTCCCAGGCAGGATTCTGAACCCGTGGAAGTCACGCAGCGTCAGGAGGAAGCAAACACCTCACAGTCTGTCAGCCCCGGCACCCGCTCCAAATACTGTTGCCCCTGCCAAGTCTTCGAAAGGGGCTCGTCCCACCTGTGGTCTCAGCACCAAATCAAAACCCCTTTCCTGCGATACATGGCGGGGAGGCCATGGATTAGGAGGAGGAGTCATAGACTCGGGCTGGCCTCTGGGGAATCAAGGTACCTGGAGGGTGAGGAGCCAGCCATGCTGTGGCCTCCTAGGCGTTCTCACCCTTCCGGAGTGTGGAGAAGTCTACAAGTTCCTCCTCCACCTCTTCTTGCTGTCTAACCACTGGTCCCCTCCCTGGGGAGCTGGGCAGCTGTCTGCCAGGATGCTGGCGACTCTTGTGCTGGAAATAAATGGTAACAGTGACAACAACGACTAATATGCTTGCTCAGCAGGCTTCCCACCTGCCAGGCCCTGTACTGAGCACTCTGGGGATCACACCTGCAGCTCCTTGAGGCTACAGGACAGTGTTATGCCCATTTCAGAGAGGAGCAAAGTGAGACATCCATCTGCTTGTTGGGTGTCTGGGGCACCTGCCACGTGCACCCTTCAAGGCACATCCGTGAACAAGGCTAGCAGGTTCCCGTTCTCAAGGAGCTGGACTAGTAACGGACTAGGAAAGTAATCAAGAAGTCAGTAATCTCAGCCAGGGTCGTTCACTGTGAACTTGTGAGGTGACAGTGACGGAAGCAGTCAGAGAAGGCCTCTCCAGGGAGGTGACATGTGGTCCAAGTTGGAGGCACAGGGGGTTAACGACGTGCCAGGGCAAGCTGGGATTGCTGGGATGCGGGGCCTCTGACGACCAGACACCCAGACTGGCGGAGCCGTGCCTCCTTACGCAGCTCAGCGCAGGAAGAGCAGGGCTGACAGATGCCCCCTGCCTGCCGCCTGCCGTGGCTTCCCTCTGCTAACTCTGCCCCCTGGCCCTGCGCCTACCCCATTGTGCCTGTCAGGTCATCTATGACTTTGGTGCCTCCTTCATCATCATCCTCGTGGTCTGGGCCGGCTGCTCCGGATTGGTTTTCCTCAACTGCTTCTTGAACTGGCCCCTGGAGCCTTTCCCAGGGCCGGAGGACATGGACTACTCGTAAGTGGATGTGCCGTCTGCCCCACCCCCGCCCTGGCCAGGGTCCCGGGCAGCACCGATGGACACTCTCCTGTGGCCTCCAGGGTGAAGATCAAGTTCAGCTGGCTGGGCTTTGACCACAAGATCACAGGGAAGCAGTTCTACAAGCAGGTGACCACGGTGGGGCGCCGCCTCAGCGTGGGCAGCTCCATGAGGAGCAGCAAGGAGCAAGCGGCACTGCAGGAGGGCCATAAGCTGTGCCTGTCCACCATTGACCTGGAGGTGAAGTGCCAGCCAGACACCGCAGGTACCTGCTTCATGACCTCACCTTCAGGGCCTGCCTAGGACGTCGGCGAGGCCGTCTGCACCCAAACCCGCACCTCGGCGGCGGGGAGGAGGCGGCCAACCCATCCTGGAAATCCCTTCACCCGGGGCCAGCAGCAACTGAGGGCTTCGTGGGTGCCATCTCACTTAATTCCCACTTGATCCCCAGAGGGCAGGCGGCACCCTGCACCCGGGCTGACAGATGAGCACACTGAGGCCCAGAATGGGGAAGGGATTCTTCCAACTCACTTCACACACCTGGGTGACCCAAGTCCAGCACCCACACATTTAACCTCCCCCAGGCCCATCCCTGCATCCAGCATAGGGTGATCTGGTCAGCAAATCAGGCTTCCCCTGGACGGTGGGTAGGCTGTGGGCCGGGGGGGTGGGGGGTGGCGGGTAGGGGCATCGGTTCTCCTGAGCACCCCTGGTCTTCTCCCCGCAGCGGCCCCCTCCTTCATGCACAGCGTGTTCAGCCCCATCCTGCTGCTCAGCCTGGTCACCATGTGCATCACACAGCTACGGCTCATCTTCTACATGGGCGCCATGAACAATATCCTCAAGTTCCTGGTCAGCGGTGATCAGGATGTAGGTAGGTGGCCCCCCCCCTCCCCCGACCTCGATGCACTTCCCCACAAGAGGGCACCCCGCGATCCGTGCTCATTCCTACCCGCCTGAGGTTAAGCCCACCGCCTGGAAGATACTAGTCCGGAAAATGGCAGGCTCCGAAGGATTCACTGCTGATGAGAGCCATTTCACCCCAGCCAGCCCCCACTGTTCTCTCCCGTTGCCATTAGAATTTCCCGGTTTAGAGGCGGGGGAGGGGAACTAAAATAATTACATGTGTTCAGGGTGTGGGGCGTATGTTTTTCATTGCCTCGGGGCCATTGGCAAGCCTGTTTGTGAATGAAAACACTGTGGGGGACGGAGTACACCACCTGAGAACTTGTTGAAAGACAGGCAGTCAGCCCCGTTGCCAAGGGTCTCCCTGCCCTGGGAAACCGCAGGCGCGGCCGTGGAGAGGCTCTGTGCGAAGGGGCAGGGGTGGCCCACACCGCTGGGTACTCAGGGTCTGCGCCCAGAACTGGGAGGCAAGGCTGGGCGGCGGCTTCCTTGTGCGTGTGATCCAGTCGAGGCTTGTCAAGTTCGGTAAACAGAGCTGATAACGCACACACCACTTTTCTAAAACAGCACAGAAGGTCTTCAGCTGATTAGAGGTTTTGATTCTACAAAGAAAATCAGTACTTCCTCAGGGCCTGAGCTGAGTCAGCTTTAGTCATCCCTAAGCTGGACAAACACAGTCGGTAAATCCTTTTTATTGGCATTCTCACTGGTGTGCAACTGTTTGTTGGTTTAGTTGGTTTTCCCCAGGGGTAGTTACACTAGGGATTACAAGGAATCAAATACAGGTTTTTTGGTGTGTTTTATTTTTATTTTTTTAAATTTTTTGAGAGCTCGTCCGCACAAGTGGGGGGAGGGCAGAGGGAGAGGGAGAGAGGGAATCATAAGGAGGCTGCACGCCCATCTCCCGATGAGGGGCTCCATCCCACGACCGTGGGATTATGAGCTGAGCCACAAACAGGAGTCGGATGCTCAACTGACTGAGCCACACAGGTGCCCCTGAAATACAGTTTTTAAAGGGGATGAGTCAGTGAGCAGCCTGCCTGGAATTCTCTCTCTCCTTCCTGTCTCTCTCTTCCCCTACCCCATGTACATGTGCACTCTTGCGCTCTCCCTCTCTCTCTCTTAAAATAAATTGTATAAACTTAAAAAAAGAGAGGGGCACCTGGGTGGCTCAGTCGGTTGAGCGTCCGACTTCGGCTCAGGTCATGATCTCACAGTTCATGAGTTCGAGCCCCGTGTCGGGCTCTGTGCTGACAGCTCAGAGCCTGGAACCTGCTTCGGATTCTGTGTCTCCCTCTCTGCCCCTTCCCTGTTCACACTCTGCCTCTGTCTCTCTCTCACTCTCTCTCTCAAAAATAAATAAAAAAACAGCTTTAACAAAAGGGAAAGATGACAAAGGGACCTGGACAACACTGGTTCTACTGTGAAAATGGATGTCCTGTGGTGAAGTTACCATGTGCCCTTGCAAAATTTCATAATGGACGCTGACACAGTAAAGGCCCTAAGAGAGCCCTATAGGAAAACATAACCTATTTAACTTTGTTTTGTCCAATGATTTTTCCCCAAACTTCCACCACAGGAACATTGTTATGGTATAACGCTCATTAAAATCTGTGGACCACACTTTGGGGAAAGCTGATCTATCGTGTCTAAACACCCTCTGTTATAAACTCAGGGCCCGAGAAGTGAAGTGAGGGCCCACTGGCTCTTAGAAGGCAAATCTCCCTGCTGCTGAGTCGTGGACTTTCACTCCAGTTCTCTAAGAAATCTTTTGCTGCTCAAGAGGATTTTTTTTTTTTCCCAACTGTTTCCCACATTCAAAAAGTCAGCTTTAAGAAGTAGAGGAAGTTGGGCCAGGAAATCCAATCTGCAGCTGACAGGGCACCGGTTTTCCCCACTCTGCTCCTGTGAGCTGTTGTTCCCGACCCCCACAGCCCCGGCTGTCCCCAGAGGGGCTGCTTCAGCTCAGGGAGCTGGTGGAATAGAAGGGACCGGCTCTGGCTGTCGGAGGGAGACCCATGGTGTCAGTGTTTGGCTGGGGGTCAGGACGGATTCTTTGACCTCTCCTTCCCTTGGAGAGCAGTAGGAGGTGTGACAGAGTATGACAGGGCAGGGTACATGAGGGGCCCTGGTTGGCCGGGTCTTCGGCACCCACGCCACTTCCCCCTCCTGGTCCTCGGCAAGCACCGCAGGCCTGATTCACCAGCCTGCCTGTGACGAGGCCCCGGCTGCACGTGACTGAGGCCACAGCAGACCGGAAACCATCAACAGATGCCCGTGCTGGGCCTCACCCGCCTGCACTCCCAGAAGCCTGACTCAAGCTGGGCGTCCCCTGGATGCTCTAAGAGTCTGGTCTTGGTGGGAAATGGCATGTGTGTGCTGGGCCCAGAGATGGCCTGCTACCACGCCCCATCTCCGTATAATAACCATTGAGATCTCTGCTGCTAACCTCTCTCCTTTCTGCTTTTTTACTTTTGCTTTCCTGATGCAGTGATGGCTACCGGTAAGCCAGGGGGATTGTCGAAGAACACTGCAACATCCCCTCCAGCCAGTCTCTGACCAAGAAACATCCCTCTTGGCCAGAACTGTGGGTGGGGGAGGGGCAGTCAACCCTCAGCTTCTATTTGCCTGAAAAAAAAAAATCTCATCATAATTTTAAGGCTCTTTGAAGACTGGAGCCCTTACGTCAGAGCCCCTGTGAGTGGTGCCTTCCTGGTATATTTCTAGAGGCAGAAAACTAATGACTAGTCATACACAAAGCCTCAGTCCCAGGCATTGGTAATTTTGTGGTTCCCGAGTCATAGACGCTTCCTGGAGCTTCTGGGGGATGTCGTTGTGACATACTGGATTTCATTAGCTGTTTCTTGGAAATAAACAGACGATTTGGAGAAGAGAACAGGGTGCCTGCCCCTTGCTCCACCTTTGATTTTGGAGTTCAAAGTCTCTGGGCTCCCCTCAAGGCCCACGGTGAGGGGTGGTGAGGGGTGGTCTGTGGAAGACCCCGGAAGGGCCTATGGGGTCTCAGGCTCTCCCAGCACCTGCCTCACGCTTCTGCTAGGGGCCCCCCACGACGCAGCCCATTTTCCTCCCCAGTTGGCCTCTACACCTCCATCTTCGGTGTGCTCCAGCTGCTTTGCCTGCTGACAGCCCCTGTCATTGGCTACATCATGGACTGGAGGCTGAAGGAGTGTGAAGATGCCTCTGAGGAACCTGAGGAGAAAGACGCCAACCAGTGCGTAGACAGGGCCTGTCCCCTAGCTCCTGGCCCCAGAGTCAGCTGCTAGGCAGGAACCGGGTGGGTGGCCTAGGTTTTGAAGTCAGCGGGAGAGGCAAGAGGGGGTCATGCCCAAAGCTATTCGTAAGGGCTTTCCGACACTCTCTCACTTAGCTCAGCACAGATTTGAGTGTATCACTTCGTTATGGAGATTCTTTGGTACCCGAAAGTTTGGAAGAGCACTGGGCTTGATGGAAGAATGGGAGAAACCGGAGGAAGGTCTGTGTGCAGACGCTGGGTGTCCAAGGACCCACTCAGGAATAGCACAGTGGTAAACCGTGGTAAAGTCCTGCTTGCCTGCGAGGCTTACTCCACTTGGTGGGAGTAGTAGGCTGCTATAACCGCAGAACTGCTAGATCTGTTCATAATTGTCAGCATGAAACAAGGTACAGGAGCCCCGCGTTCGTAAAGGTTGGGCTCCAAGATCAGAGGGTGAGTTAAATGCTGTCTTCATGACTCCACCTTAATATAATAAGCCACTGTTTATTGCTCTGGGCCCCATGCCAAACACTTGATGCACAGTATCTCAGTCAAGCCTCCCAGCACCTGGATGAGGCGCGTACTAGTGTTGAACCCATTTTTCAAATGCCGGAACTGAAGTTAGGACTTTGAGTAGCTTGCCTGGGGTCACATAGTGAGGAAGTGGTGGGTCTGGGACTCCCCGGGTCTCCAGCACTTGGCATTCATTGTTGCATGTCCTACAGTTGTCCGTGGGTTATCTGTGTGGGCAGTGGGACTGGGATCCCTAATAGTGAATTCACAAGGAAATAGCTACAGAGAATGCTCCGTTATCTAGGTCAGGTCCTAAAGCCATCTGGTTCCATCTACTGCATATTTGTTTCTCCTTCACCCCTTCCTGCCCCCAAAGGGAAATCCACTCCCTCCCTTGTTTGACTTATTATCTGGCTTATCATCAGCTCCCTGCGGGATCTGGGTGAAGTTGGAGTCCGCGGTGAAGCGGGGCTTCGCCACATCCTGACTTAGGTGTGCTCTGCTGCTTGCCTCCCCGTCAGTCTTCACTGAGGCAGCGCAGTGTGTTAATGACCTTGCATCCAACCTCTCCACTGCGGTTCACACCCAGCACTCAGTCCAGAGGGCACAATGGGAGCGTCCCTAGGGGTGGTCTCGCCCTGACAGTCCCTCAGATGTGCTCGGGTGGTCTCCGAGTCTCGCATCGTCTGCAAGCTGTGACTTCCTGGGAGAGCCCATCCTCCTTCAGGGAGCTCCCAGCTCCGGTGTGTGCTCTGTCTCCACAGGGGCGAGAAGAAGAAGAAGCGAGACCGGCAGATCCAGAAAGTCACCAACGCCATGCGGGCCTTCGCCTTCACAAATGTGCTGCTTGTGGGCTTTGGGGTGACCTGTCTCATTCCCAACCTGCCTCTGCAGGTGGGTACGGGGAGAAGGAGAGGTCGGGTGGGATGTGGGACAGTGAGACTAGAAGGGACGTGATGTGTCATGGAAGCCATCCACAAAGACCATGGTAACTTTTCATTCATTTATTGCAACCAACAACCAACCAGCCCGCTGTTATTTACCAAGGGCTTCTTACTTGCCAGGTTCTGTGCTTAATGCAGGGGGTGAGCTCTAAATGAAACTGGGATTGCCTTTCACAGAAAACTCTTCTCTATGAAGGCATATCCTTCTTCATGGCCTTTTGAGCATCTTGCATGCCGTGAATACCACCACCATACCGTCCCCCAGAACTATGTGGGGTAGTTGTATGGCTCCTTGTTTTGCTTTTGCTCACACAGTTGAAACCTGAGGTCCAAAGAGGTCTGGCTAATCTGTGGCATTGATGGGACCATCTACTCTGGTACAAGAATGCCTACGGGGTATCTGTGTTGTAGAGAGTTGGGAAAGACTGTGATGATCACTGGGCATCAGGGTTCAAAAGTTTAATTCCTTTTCACAAGATTTCTGTTGCTTTTGAAAGCTGACTTTTGGCAGACATTGGAAGAAAGTAGATTTTGTCACCTGCCCAGCTCTACCCTTACGTCCATGAAAGTGTTCTAGTGCCAGTCTCCAAGTTTGTTTATTTTTGTTATGACGATTTTTAAATCCTCAAGTTTATTAACTTTGAAGGGACCTGAATAATGGCATTGCTTCTACATGGGTTAGCTCAAGTCCAGATAGTATCTTGGGCCAGGTCCAGAAGGAAAGCCAGAGTCTCTCTCTCTCTCTCTCTCTCTCTCTTTTTTTTTTTTGCAAGTGGCCATGTGTTGAAGTACATTGAACACCCAGCTGTGCACCACCCATGGGTACTATCATGTGCATGTGCCGACATTCTGTGTGAGACCAGAGTAAACCACTGGAGGCTTGTTCCAGTTCCCAGTGAGAGTGTCTTTGTATTCCTGGTGCCCTCCCAGCTTCCTGGTGGCTGTCCCCTCTTACAAGGCTGGTCGATAGATCCTTGCCTTGACCACCTTGTCTAATGAAGGGGCAATGCTCACTAGGGACAGTCTTCTGCTTTTTGTTTTATTTAGTTCTTGTTGAAAGAAAAGTTATGAAAAGGCAACAAGACACTTGAAGTGGAAAGGGGGAACCTGCACAAGGATGTGTGAGCAAGCATAGTTGGGCACAGCCCTCTTGCAACACTGCAGAGAGCAGCCCCTGCCCCCTCTGCCGCCCACATTCCTGGGAACAGGTCCTGGCTGCTAAGCAGGATGGCAGGGCCGTGTGCAAAGGGCGAATAAAGGGTCCCAGTGGCTGTGGCAAAATGGACACAGCTCTCTTGCTCCTGAGGAATTATCTACAAATGCTTCTTGGAGCTTGCCAAGCCGGCCAGCTGTGGCCTTTTTAAGAAGCTGAACTTTCGGGTAGGGAGAAGGAAAGCTATCAGCCATTAGGGCCTGAGTGACCAGGCACAGAGACCTCTGGGCACCATCCTCAGGTCAGCAAAGGCAGGAGATCAAATCATGATTAATGACCTCCTATTTAGTGCTGTGTCAGTACATCTATAACTGCTGACTCTGGGTGGAGGCAGGAGGAGCCCTGACTCGGTGTTTGCCAATTTCCTTGGTGTAAATGCTTTCACCATGGCTGATTTCAACTGATATGACATCCCCAAATGTGCAGTTGAAAAGAGATTCACAATGACACGCCATCGTACGGTACTCCCACCATACTAGACTATAAACGTAGAAACCCCCAGAGCACAGATAATAGCAAAATAATTAAGAAATGGTGAATTCTGAGTATCCGTTACCTCTGTTTTTATATAATTTGTTTAATTCTAAGTCTTTATGAATTTAATTTTTCGTAGTGACTGTCTCATAGCTGGCTCACAAAATCCCTGACAACTCGGGCATTGGCCCTTGGAGAGCTGGTGTGAGCCAACACCAGTTGCCAGTGCTGCCATTGCTCAGGACCCCAAGGACTGTGGGGACCCTCACGTTTCTCTGCTCACACTCTGCTCTCCCTCTCTCAGATCCTCTCCTTTATCCTGCACACGATTGTACGAGGATTCATCCACTCTGCCGTCGGGGGCCTGTATGCCGCCGTGTAAGTGCTGGTTGCCGGGGGTGGCCTGGGGCCGACAGTAAGGGAATGACCTGAGGGAGGTTCGTGGGAGGACCGAGGTCCTGGAGGGGGCCAGCCTGCCATCTGGGCTCATCTTCTTGTGCCAGGGGATGGGTACTGGGGCTTCTGTTGGGTGTGTCAAGGGAAGGTCACACCTGGCGGGAGGTGGGTCAGCGGGCCGACAGTTGGGTGCCCACAAGCCTTGGCATCTAACACGAAGTCAGTTCCCCTGCCAGGGTCAGTGCTCCCATGTAGCTTGTTATGCCTCGGGGATGGCTGCTCAGCTGAGCCCCGGGACTGCCCCTGGTTGTTCACGGGAAGGACAGGGGAGAGCTCTGGCTGCCCAGAACTACAGGGCCTTCCACAGGGGCAATGACATGGATAACTGAGCCCACAATGTGTCAGACTGTTCTCACCCAGAGTCTCAAAGGGCCTGGTTCTGCCACTGGCCTTTTTGGGCCTTGGCTAAAATGAAACCTGCCTCCTTTTCCAAGAGGCCACACATCCAGAAGGAACCACAGTTGTTTTTCCCCCTTGGGCTGGGGCTTGGCTCAAAAATGGAACTCCGTGGGGGCGCCTGGCTGGCTCAGTCAGTAGAGGATGTGACTCTTGGTCTTGAGGTTCTGAGTTTGAGCCCCATATTGGGTGTAGAGATTAATTAAAAATAAAATCTTAAAAAAAAAAAAAAAAAAAAGGAACTCAAACACTGTCTCCTGTTTATCTCTGACCAAAGACTAGCCTGTTCCTCGCTGGGAGCCCCTTCTCACCTCCGGGGCCACAAAACCTGACATTTCGCTGAGATTTTCTCTCCCCTCCCATCAGCATCCCACGGGGGTCATTCCAGGTCTGCCTGTCGTCCCCCACTCCACCCGATGCCAGGAGGAAGTTGCTGCTGCCCTGGCAGAGTCTGAGAGTCCACCAAGAGTGTGATGCCGAGTTTCCGTGATTACACAATGCTCTTCTGGATGAGGGCGTAGCGGAGCCAGGGCCAGCCTCCAACCTGCTCCCTGGGCCTATTTGCCAAGCCGCAGAGTCCTGCTGGCACCACTTTCCTCTGAGCTCGTCCAGACACCCATGGACCTGGGGCACGCCTGGGTGGAGTGGGGTCCTCCCCAGAATCGGGGGTCTCACGCCAGTCTGAAAGAGAAATTCACAGTCACAGGACTGCTTGGCAGAAACTAATCCGAGGCAGGCACACCTGGGGCCAAGTTGAGGCCGAGGAGCATTGGGAAAGCCTGAGAGTGGCACCTGTGGTGACAGGTCCCCTGTCTTCCCGGCAGGTACCCCTCCACCCAGTTTGGCAGCCTCACAGGACTGCAGTCGCTGGTCAGTGCACTCTTCGCTCTCCTGCAGCAGCCCCTGTTTCTGGCCATGATGGGTCCCCTCCAAGGAGACCCTCTATGGGTAAGAAGGGTGTGGGGCAGTGGGGTATGGGCATCTGCCCACTCAGAGCTGGGAGGCATTGCTCAGGAGCTTCCAGGGCCCCAAGGAGAGGCAGTTTGGAACTTCGGTTAGGATGAACTCAGGGTCCCTCTGTGAGCGGTGGCTATGTAGGAGAAGAAGAGTATCCTTTCTGGACCTGATTTTGGGGTAGCCCTCCTGCTGAGGGTTGGCATTTTTCACCAGGTACTGTGAACGTGCCCCACTCCTGGCCCCACCCCTGGATATTCACAACTGGAGGTCAGAGGTGGAGGGCCCAGTCCCCGAGGGCTTCTCAGCTGGGAATCCTGATCCTGGAATGTGGAGCCACGGGCCCTGGGCCCTTCGTCCAGTTTCAGCTTTTCCTTTCCCTTCCTGTGACCTCCCCTCGTCCAAACCTGAGTGTGGGGAAGGCTCTGCAAAGACCACAGCTCCTGCCCGGCCCCCTGCCTCATGTGACGGCAGCTCTCATTTCTGCTTCTCCAGGTGAATGTGGGGCTGCTTGCCCTGAGCATGCTGGGGTTCTGCCTCCCCCTCTACCTCGTCTGCTACCGGCGCCAGCTGGAGAGGCAGCTACAGCAGAAGAGGGAGGATGACAAGCTTTTCCTCAAGCTGAACGGCTCCTCCAACCCAGAGGCTTTCGTGTAGCGCTCGCCGCCTCGGAACTGTGGCCTCCTGCCCTTGCTTCAGTGACTCACCGGTGTCCTTCTCCCCATCCCAGAGGACCTCCGTGCACCCTCAGGATCCTCTCCTTCGCCATTTTGGAGTCCACGCTCCCTCCCAGGGCCCTGGTCCTGCCTTGGAGCTCTGCAGCGCTAGGACGGACGGGAGAGGGCCCGGATGTGCGATGTTCCTACTGCTGGAAGCAAGGGCTGGCCTGGGCTTTGCTCTGCCACTGTCGAGGGGCCCCGGAGCCTTGAGGCACAATGGTGCCTGCAGGAGGAGCAAGGAGGACCTCCAGCAGGCAGGCTCTCTCTCCCTTAAGTGTCTGGATTCTGCCTCTCGCCAAAGCAGAGGGGTCTGCCACCTACTGCCTGCCACCTGCCCCTCAGCTGCATGCCCACTGGCCACACCTGCCCAAGGACAAAGGCTTGCACTGTCTGCGCGCCCTCGCCTGGCCCCTCAACCTCCTCCCTGGCCAGTCTGAGGCTGCCTGAGGAAGGAAGGACCCGCTTCCTGTTGTTGGTGCTAACTCCTTTGTAATTCCAGCCCCCTGTGGCCTGTCCGTGACCTGTCCTCCTGTTATAGGCCTGTGGAGAAGCCCCCCTGGCTTAAAGCCTGGGGAGGGGACGGAGGGCTGGATAGTCATGCACGGCTAGGAGCCAAGGACAAGGCTGCTTAGCAGTCCCTCACCTCCTCCCTCAGGGCAGGGAGCAAGTTTCCACTGCCACCCTTCATCCAGTCTGTGACCCGAAGGGAATTAAAACAGCACCAACAGGGCACCCCCTACACACACAGCTGTTTTTATGGGGGTGGAAGCCAGGCTGCTGCTGACAGATGAGGAGGTCCAGGCCTGGCCGGGGAGATGGACGGTGAGGGGCCTAAGTGTGTGTGTGTGTGTGTGTGTGTGTGTGTGTACATGTGTAAGTGGGATGTGTGACCCTGTGATACGTGTGAGGGATGTGTGTGGTGGGGTGATGGTAAGGTGTGGGCTCTGGGTGTCTGCCCTCATCTTCCTGGGGCCACCCAGGAGCCAGCCAGGCCTGCCACAGGCCCAGGGTCCTGGAGGCAGCCTCACTCTGGGCCTGGAGCTGGTCTGAGGCCGTGGGGCCACAGCGCCCCCTGCCGGCAGACTCCTCCAGGGCCCTGGAGCTGTTTACGGGAAGAGGCCGCCCTTCCTCTGCCAGGCGGGCCTGGCTTTCCAGCCCCCCACCTGACTGCCTCCAGAAATGTGTCTGAGACTTCCTGGGAGTGCTCAGCAGGGTGGGTTGATTTTTAGGTTTCTACTTTTGGGTTTTTTCTTTTAAGTTTTATCAGACTCCTTTTTATAAAGCAATAAATCCATTTTCCTCCTGGTAAGGGACGCCCCTGCTAAGCATTTCAGTTAATGGCTACACGTGCCTGTTTTGAGCTTGAGGAGAAAAGGCAAGACAAGATTTCTTGCCACTGAGCAGCTCCAGTCCTACCCAGCCAGCCACTCCCCATCTCTCTGGGTGATTGCCATCTTAGAAGCTACAGTGGGGCCAGGAAGAGACCTTACTCCCCACCCCACCCCCAAACAAACTGCACTTGTACAGACATCTTAGAAGTGTGGGCCAGACTGCCTCTGCTGTTTATCCGAGCCAAACAGCGAGTCCTGATCCCTTCCATCCCCGACTCAGATTTCTTATTCCTGGATCCTCTGCCCTGAGGGTTCCTCCTGAGCTCAGGACACAAGGTGACCCAGGAGAACCTCAGGCTCAAAGAGACAGAAGCAGAAAGTGGTGAGGGAAACTGGTGGGGAACAGTAAAGGACAGACCCAGGCCCAAATTCGAGTCCTGCATTAACGGTCGAGCACCTTGAACACACCTAATTTTCCTAGATTTCAGTCCACTCAAACATTAAAAAACAAGATATTTGTTTGAAACAATTATTTTTACTGTTCTTAAAGTTTATTTTTGGAAGAGAGCAAGCGAGCAAGCCGGGAGGGGCAGAGGGAGAGAGGATCCCAAGCAGGCTGTGTGTTGTGGGCGCAGAGCCCAACTCAGCGCTGCATCCTACAAACCATAAGATCGTGACCTGAGACAAAACCCAGAGTCGGACGCTTAACTGACTGAGCCACCCAGGCGCCCCTAAAACAAATAGTTTTAAAAAGGAGAGAGAACCAGATCAACATTTTCCAAACCGTTCTTCAGAACACTAGTTCTGTGAGATGTTAATTATTCAAAAAAAAAAAAAACTTTCCTGGTCAGGGGCACATGGCTGGCTCAGTCAGTAGAGCACGTGACTCTTGATGTTGGGGTTGTGAGTTCAAGCCCCATGTTGGGCACAGAGCTTTCTTTTAAAAATAAATAAATGGTCAAATTTGGGAAATGCAGAGTTAAAGTCAGGCAGGTGTTGTACTTTTGTCATGTTCATGGACCTGTGGCTTCCAAGGCCAGGTGGGGTATGGTGTTAGCAGTCAGAGCCGTCCTCCACGGATGGTCCAATGACCACCGGCAGCAGGAACTCCTCGGGTGCTTGTTAAAAAGGTCGACGCCAGGTGTCGCCTCTGGCCCGGAGAATTGACAATCTACATTTTGCTAAGCCCCACCTGGTGATTCTGGGGCACCCAAATTTCAAGACCTAGGGACACAGAGGAGTACAATTTGGGGAGATGGCTAATTAGCAAGGGCCCTGCCGTATTGAGGTTGTACAGACAGGGCCCGTGTCATCCCCAGCAGCACCCAGGCCCGGCCAAAGGGAGCTGCTGCCTATCTCTCCCAACCCACCTGCAGGACATGGGCACTTTGTGAGAAGAAGCAGGCATTGAGAAACTAGCGGGCAGGGTGGAAAAGAGTCCAAGGCCAACAGTGCATGGAGCAGTACCAGATGGGTCGGGTAACTGCGCCCCCACCCCCTTGTCGGGGGCCAGTCATTCTGCTCTGACAGTACGGAGTTGATGGGTTACATATTTTCCTGTTATCATCCTTGAATCATAATAACCCAGGAGTTAGATACTATCCCTATTTTATAGCTGGAAAACTCGAGGCCCAGGGGTGGAGTAACATGCTTAAGGTTAGAGCCAGGACTCCTGAAGTCATTAGAGCATCCAAGGCCCTCTAGGCCAGGACATTCCATTTGGAGCATCAGCCCCAGGGCCCACTGGGCCTTGGGAGCAGGGCAGCAACAGCCCAGGGAGAGGAAGCAAAAAGCCAGGCATGGTCTCCATTTCCTGGAGCCAAGAGCTTCCTCAGAGCCTGGATTGAGCTCTACTTAGTAGAGTCATCTTAGCCCTGGAGACTGATGGGTACAAGGGGGACCAAATCTCTGGTCACCCCCACCCTGAGAAGAGTGCCCTGGGGTGGGAAAGGGACCACGAGCTGGTCAAAGGCAGTGGACACCAAGTGGCCACAGCCCTCTGGTCTCGTCCCACCCCCCCAGCCTCCAGGCTCCTCGTGGGAAGGAGCAGGAAGTGATGCCTGGTCCTGCGCTTTTGGTCGGAGAGAGGAAGGGGGCTGGGCCATCCTCAGGAACATTGCCAGGGGTCTCCTCCTGTCTAGTCTTCCTGGACTCCTGTCTGGGAGTCTAGTCATTCCTTTGTGGTTGGCTTCCTGCAAACGCTGCTGGGGAAAGTTCCAACCCTTCTAAATCCCACAGTTAGGGTTGCAGGCCCCTGTGGGTTCCTTTTGGTTTTGCTCCATCTCCTTTCCCTCTTGTATCCAGAATCGGCGTGGTCAAAGGAACTTCTGCTCAAGCGCCCATCGTCATGGCCCCTGGGCTATGCAGTCTGAGGGGGGCATCACTCTGCCCTGGGCCCCAAGGACACTGAAAATGGGGACACACCTGGTATTGGGGGTATATGTGCAGGACTGCCCCAGGCAGCAGCACATTCAGCTCCGTGGAGTTGTTGATGCACTTGCATCAGCCTGTGTGAGTCTGAGCAGACACGTAAGGTGGGGGTGTGGGGACGAGTGGTTGGCACTCTGTGGTCAGGAGCTCCTGTCAGAGAGCTCTGAGAAGTCTTCTCGACAGGATCGGGCTTCAGAGGCTGTTTAAACACCAGCTTCCCTCTTCTCTGAAGGAGAATATGATGGCTCCTCACAGGCTCTTGGGGTGGTGGGGCGCCTTACCTGTTCCAATTGCCAGGGGACCAGCTCAAGGGTGATAGCCCATTTTTCCCAAAACGGTATAGGTCGTGGGGTTGTGAGGATTAGGAGCCCAGGACACCCAAAGTGAAAGAATTGGTTTTGCCCCCAGGGTTGGGGGCAAGGTCAGGGTGAACAGGTAGGCTCTGTGAGGCTCTTTCCACGCATTTCCTAACTCACTCAAGCCCTGGGGTGAGGACACAGTGTCAAGAAGGAGGTGTGGCATCCTCCACGTGGGTAGCCTGCCACAGCGCCAGCCTCTCCCTGCCAGCAGGGGGCCACCACCTGTGCCCCTGGGTCTCTGCAGACAGCACGTTCACCTTTGAAGTCAGTCATTCTCAGCCTCCTGGGTGGATCCGAGACTGAACCCGGGCCCCTGGCAGCTCCCAGCCTCTTGACCCATCCCAGATAAGGCTCCATCTTCCCATGCAGGAGGCAGTGAGAGGAGGAGCAGAGGTTAGAGGCCCCACGGCATATACTGTCTCTGTGGCCTTAGGCAAGTCTTGAGCCTCAGTTTCCTTACCTGTAAAATGGAGGTGATCCCCTCACTGGGAGGTAGGTGGACATGGGCATAAAGCACATGTACAGTGGTATACTGCGGATAGCACAGGGAACAAAGACCGTCCCCACCCTAACCCCATCCATACAACGGGACATCTACCTGAGGCAACTCTGACCGGAACAGACTTGTGGCCAACTAAAGGAAGTGAGGTCCGTTTCCGCTGACCTGTATCCCTCTCAGAACCCCTCTCGAAGCGAAAGCCTTAAGAAGTTGTCCCTTTGTTCATCTTGTTTATTGTTATTTTTCGTTTATTTCTCACATTTTAGTAAGTGACTTGGCCCCAAAGCGTCTCAAGATAATTTCTAAGTGGTGGGTGTTCAGGCGCCCCGACAGTTCATGCTAAGCGGGGTGACTCGGGTCACTGCATGTAGGTGGCACCTCCGTACCACCTCCTGCACAACTGCTTGGCTGTGCCTCAGTGTGTGCGTGTGTGCACGTGTGAGTTGAGATGTGCTCAGGCACATCGGGCACGTCAGGTGTGAACGCGTTTTGAGGAGCGTGTAGGAGCTTGTCTGTGTGCTGGAGAAGAGGGAGAGGGTCTTGCCTCGATGAATCCCTTTCCATGGCTGGGAAGGCCTAGGTCCTGAGTGGTGCCTGAAGGGTTCATCGGTTCCCTGTGTCAACCAGGGTCAATAGTGACACCGCTCCTCAGTAACTGACCCTGACTCCCGGCCCTATTGCTGTTTCTGGCACCTGGCTTACTTCCTGGCACACAGTAAGCACTCAATAAATGTATGCTGAGAATGACTAACAACTACTTCCTCCTCTGCTCCTGTGTCTCTTCCTAAGTCCCCCATCTTTCTGCCCCTTACCTTTTGCTCAGATTCTGTGTCACTTGTCTGACGTGTGCTCCCTGACCCCCACCCCTTCCCTATGGTGCCCTTGCCATGGCCCAGCTTTGCTGGCTTGGCCTTCTGCGTGGCCATTTCAAGAGGTGGGGGAGGGACAGAGTGAGGGGCCTCTTGGGTGGGAAGACCAAGGCTTCTGGTGAATTCTGGTTCTAAAGGGAGCTCATCCTCGTCTCTCTTCTTTCGTACTAAGGTGGTGGTCATGGGCATGAGTGCTCCTTCTAAGATTTCCCACCATGCTGGCTGCCCTCCTGCCAGGGCCCTGGGCAGTGGCAGTGAGAGAGAGAGAGAGAGAGAGAGAGAGAGAGAGAGCGCGCCACTGGGCCTCTCCGGAGAAGCCACAAGGAGAATCCCATCCCAGGGAGGGAAGGGATGGCCTGGCCCCTCACCCTAATTGTGTGGAGGAGGCTTGAGGCCCAGGGGAGGGATGTGCATGGCCTCAGGGGCCAGCTGGGGAAAGGATGAGACGGAATATTACCTGGGTATGTGTGGGAGCTCCTACCTGTCAGGATTGCAAATTCAAAAGCTAAGGCTCTGACACATCCCTTTGCTACCTTTCCTTTTCCCATGTTTGACTGAGAAAGCACAGAGAAATATTTCTCTAACGTAAATAGAGCCACAGCATACGGTCTCTGGTAATGCAGGCGTTGTTAGACTTTGACCTCCATGCCAGGGACACAGGAGGACTTGTGGGGGGGGGGGTACTGTGGGGACGTGGAGGCCACAGCCTCCATCTAAGGGGCAGCCTTGACCCCACTCTATCGTGGCCACGTGGGAATGAGCCTAGTATTGTCTGTCAGATCTTCTGAGTTTTTTGAGGAGAAGCTGAAAATCCTAAATTTTATTATTTTTTAAAAAATTATCTTTCTCGGGGCACCTGGGTGGCTCAGTGAGGTGAGCGTCCGACTCTTGATTTTGGCCACGTCACGATCCCAGGGTCATGGGATCGAGCCCAGCGTCAGGCCCTGCCCTGAGTGTGGAGCCTGCTTGGGATTCTCTCTTCCTCTGCCCCTCTCCCCCCACTTGTGCTCTCTCTCTCAAATAAAAATTAAAAAAAAATTTTTTTTAATTCCCATTTTCAATTGTCGGCTCAAAACAATTTTTAAAAACTCTCATGGCTGCTCAAATAGCTTTCCACTGTATGCAGACCAAACACACCAGAGGTAAGGAGAGAGGAGAATGTGCAGAGCCTCCTTGCCTCTTTCGGGTGCCCCAAACAACTGCTTGTCTATTTCCTTGGCTCCAGCAGGTGACACGTTTGTCTTGCATCAGATTGTGGCCCTATCTGGCCTGGGACCTTTTCATTTTTCCCTTTGTCTCCCCCAAGCCTGGTGTATAATGAATGCTGTGGAGGGAGCAAGTGGGTTAAACACTCTAGTCTGGCTTCTAGAGGGGC